TTTGCGGATTTAGTTTGTAAGCGGAGACGCGTGACCTGCACCCAAGTCAACGTGCGCGTGAACTCGATCTTGGCAGTGGCTCGAGAAACAACCATTAGGGCTTTCCACGATCATGGTGAACTCGAAATGGTGTTCAATCAGAGTCACTGCACTAGCAAGCCAGTGACAGAAGGCATGCCTCGACTGCTTGGTTGCTGTGCTGACGTTCTGTCAGATGGTGATCCGCTGGGACCAAGGACGTAAAAATGGCGACATGGTTGTTTATAGGCAACTGGATAAGTACCAAAAGATGCGTCGGACCAACTTGGACGTGAGAAGAAGGATGCCGGCTTTATGGGTCTTTTATCGCAATGTTTCGTGCCATCTCTGAGACTACATACGCAACAATTAAGATATGAGATGATATATCGCATACTCCCCCCCAGAATGCTAATGGAAATGACACGGCTCCTGTTCGGGCCTCAATTACTGTTCATCTGGGGTGTTCGGTGAGAAGCTTTGCGGAACTTGTCAGTGTAAGTGAACGGCACGAATATCTTTCATCACTCCCATGGGCTGGATTGACCCTGCTCTGAGAAGCAAGTTCTGCATCTTCGATGGGGGATGATTCATCATCAAAACGAATCAAACGGCATGAGACTAGCAGCCCAGGCAGCACCCGCGGCTCTGCCCTCTGTCCACTGCCACTAGCAGTCTTGCCCACCCACCAGGAAAACAAACTGTCGAGCACTGCCCGCGTTCCCTTTTCGATCTCTTACCTCACGCTTTGCTTCCGATCAACTCTTTCTTCTTCCTTCTTCATACACCAACATCATCCCAAACATATCCCACGAAACCTTACATTTTCTTTACATCAACAACTCAACTCTTTACTATTCTATCATCACAAGTCGTAGACTATTCTTCACAACTCGCCCCAGACAGCTCTCACATATCACGAGCCTCAGAACCATTACCTCAACCGACATTCTCATCCAACTTCTTCGACGGTAGCAATCGCATATCTCTCTTTATCCACCTCAGCGCAACGCTGAAGACTCCTACCATACTCTACCAGAGGCATCAGCTGTTGGTATCACGACAACTGTCCATCAACTTCGTTAACTCAAGGAGGAGCAAAAGGCCCGTTAGAGTACCAACCATCGACAGCTCTCTCTTCTTTTACACAGCATCTACTATTCAATCCGAAATACTCCTACCGCATCCCACACTGCTCCTGACTGTAGAGAGCAGGTATCAACATCGCCTTAATCAACTGAAAACACGACATCTTCCACAGCGCGCCAAACGTTTGACACACAATTATCACAAACCCCTCTACCTTTCCCATATCTTCTCGTCTCAGGACCCTTCGCCGACATATTCTCAAACAAAATCTTTATCTATCTTTCGACCTTGGATCTACATCAACAGGGAAGACAGCATTACGGTAAGCATCATTCTTCATCAGTTTACTCCCTATTCTTCCTCGTTATATATCTCATACTAACTCTCTCAGATGCCATCTCCCTTTGACAAACTCCCTATGGAGGTTAAGGTTGCGATCCTGGGTTACCTGATCCCTCCCATGTGCAACCCAATGAACTACGGGGTCCACCCTCAGGCAGCTTACGCCACCGTAGGAAACTTGAAGCGTGTGTCCAAGGGTTTCGAGGAAGTAGTTGATGCGATCCACTACATCAAGGCCATCGCAATCGCTGATGGGGAAATCAAGTTCACGATGAATCCCATCCAGGACGATCTCGTGGTGTTCTGGATGGCCATACCAAAGCCACTTCCCAACAGTTCCTGGATTCGATCCATGAAGGCGGCTAACTTTGAGGTGGATGACGACGCGCTTCCCATTCGTCGTCTGATCGTTTCCAACCACTATCCCATGCAGCCCCAGTCTCAGGACCCCCTAGGATATGGTAAGTCTTCTCAATACGTTTGATGGTAATCGCTAATCTTATTAGTCTCCCGAGCCAGCCGATCTCAATCCGTCAAGAACACTCTTCGCTGGAAGAACGAGCCTTTCGAGACCGACCTTCTCATGTTCGCTCGCTTCCCACTACTCAAGGAGGCCGTCGTTTCGGTATCCATGATGTCCCGATTGTGGCACATCTCCGGTTTCCAAATGGAGGGACCAGATGTTGAGGCACCGCGCCCGAACGGCGAGACCTGGGGATTCAACCGCGTTGGGTCTTACAACGCCGCTGCGGCACGATATTTTGAGGCCAAGGGCATCCAGGCCGACACTGGAATCACCTGGGAGTTCCCAACCTCAGTTTTTAGAGCTCACCATGCGACTATTGTCTCGGAGCCAGAAGATCTCCATCCGCGTGTTGGTGAGCATGGCGCCTTCATTCAAGCTAATGACCTACCATTCATTGGGCTGCATGGGTATAGCCGTGGAACCCGCTCACTTGGAGGAAAGTGGGCTGGCTTCCGATACCATACCAGAACCGAAAAGGTTCAATTTTCACCACTAGCGTGGCATGAAGTTGAACCGATCATCGATCAGTTGGAAGACGCCCCCTCAGCTGGTCAGTCACTGCGCAATGGGCATCCACAGTTTATCGCGCGTGTGTGGATGATTCGCGAGGGAGACGAGCCCAAGGATGAACCACATCACTGTTGGATGGATGTGAAGGAGCCCAAGAAGAACGACGCGGACGAGCCCTGGGAGCAGGAGGAGCCATATGTGGAGCAGATCGCCAACACTTAGAAGATGGTGCGCGATACTCTGCTTCGTCGACACGAGCATGCAGGCTACACTCTAGAGCTGAACTGAGAGAATGCCAGGGCCGAGGATCATATGGACATGTGAGAAGTGACGAAACCGGATGGAACTGACTGTTGGGGTACATCGGACGGACGCTCTGCGGAAATTGTGCTGCCTATGTGGCAAGGAGACTTACTGAGGAGAGACGAAGGTACCGATGTTGGCGTCTGAGCTGAGGTTTGAGATTGTGAAAGCTCTTGTGAAAGCTCTTGTGTTTGGAGTTTTTGGTTGTACGGTTGTCTTATGTTCATTGTACGACTTGTAATGGTAGCTATCATTCACGTGAATAATTCTTTCTTAAACACCAGAGTCCTAACACGCGTTGCAGGTTGCCACCCAAAAGCCAGCGGGGCATTAGTCTAGATCCCAGGATACAGGAATTCATGAAAGACGGGATTTCCTACGAAAGATTGAGATAACATATGTTGTCTGATGACTGCTTTTAGTGACTCTCTTGGGGAAAAATAGACCGGTGATGGAGAAGATAAGGAGTTCCAAGAGGCCATGGCCATTCTAATTCGTGTAAGGCGCGTGATGCGAGTATCATCTGTCAGGTCTATCATCTCAAAGTTACATATTAGTGACAAAATTTGAAGTCGAAAAAGGTTCTTTCAGAAGTCGCGTCGTCCTGGAACCCACCACCAGAGTACGCGTAAATCCCAAGTAAACCTCTTTACCATCATGATTACGAACCCCTTTGGATCTTGGACGCAACACGACACGGGTCCCAAACAGCAGAAAAGTTGGACTTTGAAGGAGTCATTTGGCCCACAGTTAAATACGAAATGCGACACCATGAACTCTGAAATGGACTTTTCGATCGATGCAGAGGCAGGCGTCGCAACTCTGGCGAAGCGGTTCGGAAGCGGGCTAATTAGACAATAGGCAAATTCCCCAGAAACGATCATTTCGTCGGATGGTAGGAAGTGACTTGTGGCCTCTATAGAGTACCTCTTCGTTGGGGAATAGGTAATGTTGTATCGCTGTGGGAGCAGGAGCCACGTCGCGCTACAAATGAACAGCCCTTGACACAACAGCAGCGACATTGGTTCCTAAGATGGCTTGAGCGCCTTGATCTAAAGTTCAAGTAGGCTTTGTATGGAATTATATGCACCGAAAGTCATCTCGCTCCGGTAATTCTCGACCCTCTTGAGGTTCGTTTCCATCAGTGCATGTGGGCCCGAAATGAAACCCAAGGGTATTCTCGAATTTTGTCCGTGTTAAAGAAAGTTTGTAAAAGATCGTGTCGTGTTACCTGGCCCCAGCCCACGTCCTACCAGGAAAAGCATGCATAGGCCAGAACGGAGGGGAATGAGAGCAGTGAGAGCAAAGGTGATGTCCTTCAGGGTCTGGGCGCATATGATGGATTGTTGATGGGCTGGTGAAATTGAAAGATCTCGGAAATAATAACGTGCTAGACTTGCTGCGTGAGATTCACAAGGCTGCTGGCCAGGATATCTCAGAAACGTCTTTTTCTCACTCCCTAATATCACGGCATGAAGCGGCTAATGATAGGTCACACGCCATCGGGAGATTTTATTTCTTCATTCAATTTTCTGATCGTGAATCCTTGCAGAAAAAAATAATACTCACTTACTCATTGACAACAGCAACAACAATAACAACATCCATCTCCAACTTGGCTTAAAAGGCTTGACACACGCCCTCGACCACGAGCGAGGGCTTGATCAGTAACAATATTTCACAAGAGATAACACAAGCTTAGGCATTATTGTCAATACTATAGACTGATCTAAGTACCTGCCTTTCTTCATCACTCACGCCTTCTAGTCTTTCCGCTCTCTCAGAATCCACACAAGTAGCACTCCTGACTAATCTCACACATCCATCATCATTGCTGATCGCGCCATATATTGCGAGCTCCCTCAAAGAGTAGTCCAAGTATAGAGAAGTAATGTATTGCCAGTGTTGAGGGACAAAAGTCTGTCACTGTTGATAAGTGGGTTGAATCTTCGCGGATCCTTTCCATCGACTCCAAACTCTCGCAGTTCTCAGTACGACTCATACTTACACGTAGAGACACTTCAGTCCGTCAATGGGGGCCGATAGTGAAATGGAGAGGTGTAGTCCCAGGGTGATGGATGCAAGCACGGACCATTTTCCAGGTAGTGGCTAGTTGCTTTACCCAAGGTTCATCAGTCTGCACGTCGTATTCCTTAACCTTGATCCAGCCGTAAGCACCACCAGGAATCTCCTTCTTCTTGTCCCGAATAGTCTAAACCCGGGACACGAATTCTGGGTCCTGGTTCTCCAGAAGTTGGCGTCCATTTTGCGGCTGCTGTCGTCGATGGATCATAGGCTGAACTTCATCCCAAGTAAGTGGTCGGAATTCAACCTCCTCGGACTCGAGGTAAACACGAAAGCCCGCCCATTGTCCGCCTTGAGAAAATTCCTGGATGCGCTGGTTGCGCCAGTCACGGCGAGTCTTGCTGTAGCCGTGCAGGCCAATCATCGGGACCTCGTCGATGTTGACGTAGTCATCCAACCGAGGATGAATCCAGCGGATTCCTGTATGATGAACAGGATGGTTGAGGTCTCCCGACACTGGGTCAGCACGTCGATGCTCCGGCTGGGGGCCATGTTGTTGGAACGATGATATGTGCCAGCCAGGAGCGGTCTTGACCACAACATCCATCTCATGAAGAGATCCTAACTCTTGGGCGATGGGAAAACTTGTTTCGAAAGGTAGATTCTCCTCATAAGCAGTATAGCGTGGGTGATGACCCATTACATTGATAGCCCATGGCTGCCAGGAACGTAGAAGTCTTCTCTGCATGGGTGTATATGAAGCCCACCCAATTGGGAAAGGGTGAAGGGTCACGAGCCGACGAACGGCATGAAGGTTGGGGATCCGGGGGGTTTTGAGAAAGCCGGGAAGGTTCGTACCCATGACCAAAAGCGCGTCACGTTCACAGTCAAAGGTAAATTCCTGACCAGCAGAGTTGTGGCCGGTAAGGGGTCGGGCCTTGAGAAGGAGGTTTCGGAATGTGTGGCATGTTGCCATGATAGCGCGGGTTGCGTCGCGCTCGTTGCTGATCCCTATCTTTCCGTCCGCGAAGAGATATTCTGGTAGGATCATTGGAGGAATCGCCAACTGGATGATTTTGATCTGAATCTCCGCGGGGAGATCCATAAACTTAGGGCCTGCCATCTTGAGCGGTGATGTATGCTGAGACCGAAGATCTGTGGCTTGCTTGTCACGGCTCTCTGATTTTGAAGACGTATCGAGAGATGACGCGGGATGGTGGGGAGGGACTTGGGATGAGATTGGTCTACTGAGGATGTTGACGTCAGAAAGGTTCTCGAAGTAACGGACAATAATTGAAACTTTTTGCTTACCATCAATATCAAGACCTTGCCACGCCGTCTCCCAAGTCGGGACTGGTAGATGTAAAAAGGGTGACGGGGAAGACAACGGCGAGAAGTTGAGGGTGTCGCTGAAGAGTACAGGCAAGAGAGAGGATGGTGGAAGACGTCTCTTTGCGTGTTAAGAAAATGAGCGTTGAAAAGAAGTCTTCAGGCTAAGACCTTCTCGTGTCAGAACCTTTTGAGATGAGGTGGTGAGGAAAGGAAAGTTCTCGGGAGGTCGAAAGATGAGGGATGGGATAAACAACGCCTGTGGCCTGGCAGTGTATTTGGAGACTACTGGCACTGGCATTGACTGATCCCTTTCCCAGTGGCACACAAGTCTCGTGACGGGAGGGCCAGTGACAGGAATCAGCTGTTGGCAAACACAATCCCAAGTCCTAGTCCATTGTGGGGTTAGAGAAGAAGGCGTTCAATATAATGATTGGCTTTGAAGAACAGACAACGATATCGAAGAGAAAGATACTGCTGGTTCAAGTGGAACACCTAGAATTTGCAGCTGTTCTAAACAACAAACAAGAACATCGAGTCACAAGGCGTACGAGAGCACGGCAAGGCCCCGGTTAAGATTCAGATACCCCATGAAATGATTTTGACTCCAAAATGACTTCTCCGAGCTGATGTCTAGCTACTCAGTAGATCTCGAAGTTCTCAACCAAATGCTCCGCATCATGGAACAACATATCCAAGTCAAGCCCATACAAGTAACAATCACTCACCAACAACCATCCCTCTCCCTCTCTCTTCCTCAACAAAAACGGTTCAGTCGAACCAGGGAAATAAACAACCCGATCCCCCGCTTTCGCTCTTGGGCTCGCAAGTCCCAAAGACCCCTTCTCACTTGTAAAAAGACACCGCCCATAGCTCGCAAACGTGAACTTTTCGAAAAACTCTCTGAGATCATAACCGATAGCTTCAGGCTCTTGGTCTGATTTCTCCTCAGAACTTGAGTCGGGGTCCTTTTCTTCTGTGTCTTTCCCGACGCTTAACCACCAGAGGTAGAACTCGCGGTCGCGAAGAAACATGGACGCATCTGCTGACTCGAGAATACCGGCGCCGCAGTGTCGATACCACTGGGTGAAGCCCACACCAACGCTGAAGAGCTCAGAGCCATGAGTCGCTGTAAGTGTCGTTGCAAAAGCCTTGCTCAACGGAGATTTAGAATCCTTCCACTCGGGAACGAGTTTGACAGCAAGACTTTCCCACTCTTTCATCACTCTTGCAAAGCCCTCAGTTCCCGGTGCGTGACCGACTCCATCCTCAAGTTCCGGCCCAACTTCACGAATCGTATCAACCATCTTTCCCCTGATCGTCAAACTTCCATATTTCGAAAACTTCAAGCCTGGAAGATACTCCCTGCCTAGTCGTTCCCTGGGAAAACTAAGTCGCGTTCCATCCGCACACCGTACATCGTAGTTCTCCTCAGCGTCTTTGCGATACGGTGCGTACCAGTTATCCCCTGCGAGACTGTTGGTCGAAGTGTCCGTGAAGTCAGGGATCCAAGATGGAAGGTTTGGATAACTGCGCTTTGCGCCGATATCCTCGAGGATACTGAGATCTTTGGTGAGTTTGATCACAGCCTCTGTGAACTGACGAAAGATATCTTCCACGGGCAGATCATAGTCAACAGGTATGAACCCCGGTTCGAATAACCCCAGAATACCATAGATCTTATCCCGAGTCTCAGTGGTCTGACAAACACGACTGTACCTCAGAATACTCATCGGATCACTACCAACCCCCAGCATCCTCAGACTCCAAACATGACTATCCGGATCGAATCCCTTGATCGGATGATCCCCTTCACCGCCACGTGGAGACGACAGTCCCTTCGCACCATTCGAAAATTCTGCTTTCCAACCGATCCCCATGTCCCTCCAGGGCGTCGCCTCTTCTCCACACATCATGACCGCTCTTTTCGCAAGAGCTATCTCTTGAATCACCCATGTGCGGAAGAACCAAGGTCTTTTGACAAGCGCGGTCCAGGCGCGTCGCTTTTCTTCTGGTGGTGTTGAACCGTTGTGGAATGAGTCGGCGATGCTTTCGTCGTTAATATGCTGGAATACGAGATGTGAATCCTCGGCTGCGTCGCCGAGCCACACTACGACTTGACGGGCTGATTTGTAAATGTCGCCCATGATGCGAACTTGTTGGTTTCGTTCCCCGTGGACGGATTGGTTGATACACAGGGCGTCGACCCAAAGTGTTCGGATGGTGTTGGGAAAGCGGAGGTGGATGAGTGCGGAGTGGAGGTTTGGTGTGATTGAGATGTCTTGATCGCCGAGGTTGATGTATCTGACTGGTGTTATGTCACCCCAGACATAGGAGAGTGCTTCGTAGTCTGGTTGAAAAGTGATATCGCTATCTACCAGGCGTCCGACAAGAGGGTCTGTCCGGTTGCTCGAAGGGAGGAGTTCGAGTAGTCGAAAGGAGCTACTGCTACGCAAAGGCTGATACACGTCTGCTGAAGAAGTGGCCCCCAAAGGAGAAGCTACTACTGGGTCATCCAACCTCTGTGGACTTGAGTGAGGAACCTCCTGTCTGCTTTTGACCATATTCTCAATCTTCTCATCCCAAGCTCGCTTCTCCACCGCCACAGTTTGAGCAACACGCCTCCTAACCTCGGCATACGAACCCATAGTCCAACCTTCATTACCAGAGAGCTTCCCCTCCACTAACCTTACGATCTCGAGCCACTCCTCAATATCTTGGAACGATCCTCGGCCGCTTTTTCTCATCACAGTGCATGCATCAGCATGCAATCCAGGACACGTAACATCAGCCCCCGCTTCCAACACCATCTTGATAACCGGTAAGTTATGTTTGATGATAGCGGTATGAAGCCAACTTGTCTTCTTCGCTTTGAGGTTCTCACGATGAAGACGTCGCCTTGAAACAAGGACCGTGTCGATATGTGGCCCCGGGTACTCGGTAATAATATATCTCGTCTGCTCATGGTACATATAACCAGAGGAGAGAAGCCACGTCACCATCTCTCCCCACGACTTGGGATCATCAGGTAGTTTGGCACCGTACTCACCAACACACCAGCGTAGGAGACTCAACCGTCCTCTCTTCAACGCTCTCTGCTGTAACGGCACTGGATCAAGCTTGATACCATGGGAAACAAGCAACTTTGCCATATCAACACTTGAAACCCAGGTTGGCACTTCTTCGAGTCGTATGCCTTTGTCAAGAAGCCGGCTGGCTGCTTCAAGCTTATTGCTCTGTGCGCAATATCTCAATACAGCCTGGTAGTCCGAATTCTCAAGATTGCTCGCGTGTGTCATGAATGCTTCTAGAAACTCGAGGAGGGTCTCATCGTTTCCATAAGGGCCTGCTGCTATCGCGACTTCGATGGGCGTCAGATCCCCGTTAGTGCTCCCACGGTTGAAGATACAGTTTCGACGACAGCTGGCACTTTCGCCATGCTCTATGAGAGCCAAAGAGATATCGATATTGCGACCTGCGGCTGCAGCATGGATCGCTGTCCCAAAGCTCGAGCCCTCGCCTTGCCCACCGTCAACCATTCTGGGTCCAGCGATATCAGTAGCGGCTTCATAAGCCAGCAGCTTCTTTGCAACGTCCAGAGCTCCCTTGCGACAGGCAATATGAAGCATCATGACCAACCCTGAATCATCTTTAGGACATGAAAGACCCTGCTCCAGAAAATACATAATGATGCCGCCCCATGTAGCTTCGATGTCAAGATCCCATAAGGGCACGTCAAAGTTCACACCAGGAGGCCAACCGACCCACGTCATATCAACAATCTCCTGCGGTGAGATCAAAGCGTCGAGTGTGACCTGAAGAAGGTTTGCCTGTTCTTTGGGCTCGTCTTCCACAGTCTCCCCATTTTTAGCAGCCTTTCGTATCTTGGCGAGCTGCTCTGGAGATCGGCGTGGCTGGAGTGTAGAAATGTCCGCTCCAGATTTGATCAAGAAGCGAAAGAGCTCTTCATACCCCAGCATACAAGTATAAACAAGCGGTGAGTACCCCTCATTATCCAAGCAATTCACGGCTGCCCCATGAGCCATAAGCAACTTGACCATTTCAAAAAGCTCAGTGTTCGACTTCTTCGGGTCCTCGCCCAGATACCCCGGGTCAATCTTTGCCCTCTTAATCGCAACCTGCAACAGATCCCTCTCCCCGACGAACAAGTCCCCCGAGTCATCTTTCTCGAGCAGCGCACGCGCCAGAGGATAATCCACTCTCAGCTCTTTGGCGAGGCACTTACGTACGGCTTCGACATGATAAGTCTTGAAAACGGGCGATGTTCTATACAGAGTGAAGAATTCGTCGAATTTTATTTTCTCAAGATCGGTCAGGAGTTCGTCTCTTTCTGCAGAAGGTTTTCGACTGCAGATGCTGAGTAGCCATTTGCCTGCGATTTCTTCGGGTGAGGCCATTTTGGTGATTACGGTGAGTAAGACGTCGTCACCCTGGCTGACGGTGTTGAGACTCTGCCTAGCAAGCGGGGCGAATGGATCCTGGTTATAATAATTTAGCGCTATATCCGTAATGTCCCAGCCTTTGTGCTCGAGCCGTGATCTTAGTGAACATTCTCTCAGATCCGGGAATTGAGAAGGATCTAATTCTAAAACAGACAGCGTCATAACTCTTCCAATTTCGCAGCGCTGTAGCATTGAAATGGTCAACATCAAATTTTGGCTCTACGGCTTGTCACGCAGCTAAACTCCGTCTTACGCCCCAGCAATTTCACCACCAGGATCTCAATAAAAAAATTACATTGATCCCAACATACGTAGTCTCCCAAGCCGACCTCGGTAAGTTAAAAGGCATCAAAGTTCAGTCGTCGATCACAATCCTTGCGCAGATCTGGGGGAATCCTAAAGCCACGTCCGACTTAGTGCTGGTCTCAGCGCCACGATCCGTTTCTGTCTCTGATCTGTCAATTACCTTTATCCGAATAAGTCGATGGAACAACACGTTCTTTGACATTTCTAGTGGGACAAGCAACTTCATTGTCTCCATCTTTAGGCGCTAGGATGGAATCCCTGAACTGGGTCTCCAGCACCGTCTGTACAAGGGACATACAATGGTTGTTGCCATTCAGGAACCAAGCGCATATGCCATTGAGGGGTGGACTATTCCCTCTCGGATCGCATTTTTCTCGCCCAAGATAAAGCAACGTTCTGAGACTCTCGTCATTGAAATGAGCTACACTGTTGAAATCTACTATCCCGATGACGATCTGGATGAGGATGGAGATCCGATAGAGAACGATAGTTTCTGGGACGTAGATCATCATAACTTGAGGACTGACGAGGCCGGGCCTGAAACTTACTCAAGAAATTCTCGCTCTTAAACCAGACCTTCCAGCTATTACGCACATCGGACTTCAAATTGTCTCAACAGAAGCAAGGTTTAAGATATTTTGCGGTTCAGTCTTTTGAAACCATGATGAACTAAGAAGTATATGTCGTGAAATTGATATAAGTCTCGTGAAATCAGCTGGAGTCATTCACATGCTCCTGTCGAATCCTTTCCTTCTGTACCCTCACAGCCACATAACTTGCAATGATCTCTCCAAGGAAATCATCAGAAATATCAATGTAGACACGCATCTCCCACCATTTTCCACCCTCATTTCCAGGCTTCTTTGTTTTCCATACCAACGCCACCAACCTATCATAAGGGTCAAGGAGACACAGTATGCGACCCTTAGCACCATCACCATCTGATGAAATCTTGCGCATTTGCCACAGTAGCACGCCTTGTGAGCTATGCCATAAAGTCCCAGCGCCGTAAAGATCCCAAGCAAGTTCTTCTTCTGCCTCCATCTTGTAAGTGCTCCATGATTTGTGCGATGTGACTTGGCGGTTTAGGACCTTGATATCCGCATCCCAGATTGTATTGGCGCGAAGATGGATCTGCGCGATCTCCGTCGATAAGCCTTGAGATCGCATCGAAACTTGAAAATGGGGGCCTGATTGATGCCGATTCCAACTGCAAGAGGTTGATTGGAGGTATTGGCTCTCTTTTTTGTCGCTGGGTTGAGGGCTAGCCATTCCTGGTGTTTCTATGGTGTAGTTGGTTGAAAATTCGGGTGTGAGGCTGGTAAACGAAGAAGGAATATTATACCGGCCCTTTTCGATTCCAAACTTTCGCTTTGGTTTTAGATCGGCGAAGCGCTTCTGGGGATTTACAACCCAAGCTTTGTTCATGTCACCGGGGACGCCAAGGGGACTCTTAGCCGCTTTGGCATCCGTCTTGTCGCTCACTACCACCAAATCTGATTCATGGTACTTGACTTTTGAGTGCGCATTCTTCTCAGAAACGAGGCGTAGACCGCAATTCCGACAGAAGAAAGCGAGCGAGCTGTCCATCATGCCAGCGATGCAGCAACACGCACAAACCATGATAGACATGCAGAATATGAAGGCCCTGGAGATTGTAAGTCACCAATCATGGAGTAAAGCAATGATCTTTTCCTTACTCAACGCCTGTCGAGCTGCTGGAAGTCGGGACGTTGAAAGGCTCGTCTCTGTTCCCGCATGCTGGACATTTCACGAACTGAGCATCTGCGTAAACAATTTGAGGGTCTCTCTTAGTTGGAGGAGTCATTTTTTGTGCTCAGACGTGGATTTATTTGGACTTGAGCGGCTGAAGACACGGGCGTTGTTTATGTACAATTTAAGCTTGTGTTCTAGGCTAAATCTAGCCAGGTAATTCCGTCTGTCATTCTGCCTGCCAAGGGTTGTGGCTTGCCCAAATGGACCAATTAGTGTGAGAGGAATCGCCACGGGGCCCTTCACGCAATTGCCAAAAAGTATCTGTGCGCTACTCTTCATTTTACGTTTCACATAAAATTATTCTAATTGTCTTTACTTGGTCTCACCTCTGTTTGACTCTATCCGCTATAGAGCTCGTAAGAAATTTCGTTGACGCCGCTTAGGAGCGATTGAATAGTCATACAGGGCCATACTATTCCTTCGCGTGTGTATGAAATAATTCGTCTCGCCAGTACCCATTCTTGCGTAATCCCTAGTGGATAAAGGACTCTGGTTCTCATCCGGATCTTGGACTGTTTCGTTGCTCCAATGACTGGCTTACAGTGATCCCAGCGGTTCTACGAAGGGCTTAACGTATGGGATCTTGACAATCTCCCGTGCCGGTGATCTTGCGGGTTCAATGAAACAACCCTTGGTGGAATCGCGCGCATCAGCAGCGGCGACGACCAGATAAGCATTCTCGTAGACATAGCCAATCTTCTCCGGTTCGCGCAACCACTCTTCGCGGTTTCCTTCAACGCTGCATAAGCAGTCAATCTAGAGATATCGTAGGTCACCTTACGGGGTATATGGTGGTATCACTATTTACAAAGTCTGTAGCCAGCTCACGTATGGTACACGGCAGCCAGATCGGTGCGTGAATCCCATATTGAATCATCTACCAATCACAATTCAAGAGCCATTGACAACCCTGAATCGTTAAATCTTGCGAAAACATGTACGGCTCCTCTCCACTCATAGGTTGGTACCCTTCTGGTCCCCGCAGGCGACCTCGACAGATGTATATGATCGCCCAAGCTCAGCCCGTCTCGGTCCGAACTCCAGATCGTTCAGTTCAACCCAAGCACCGACTCAGCTTAGAGCGGCAGGAGCTCAGTTCTAGAAGTGGAAATGGATTTTGGCGTGCTTGAGCCATGTCTCCGAGTTACTTGGTATTAATTCAAGCCTCGCTGTAATGTGGCAGATTTTGGCGCGCTGATCGTTTGATCTTTTGAGTTTTACCCCGGATTTGGGTTCGATCTATGCATTAGCGTGGAGCCATGTGTTTGTTCCATGGCCACGGCCAAGGAAATGGAGAATGCGGCATGCAATATTTAACAAACCCATTTTCCTCAGTATGGAAACTGTCCGCGTTTCTCGATTATTATCTTTCATGAATCTCCAGCATGGGTCAGTACGGATTTTTAATACCGGACAGATACGTCCGTGAAGTTCCTGGCGAGGTCGACATGAATACAGCCAGCATATTCTGGGGCTTTTCTCTAGGCGTCGCAGTGTTCTCGGTTGCCAAAGCATCGGAGCAGAGCTGGAGGGCATGGAAAAGGCGTCGACGTGTCACGTCTTATGTCGCCATGATCTGGGCGGTTTGGTTCAGCAGTATGGTCCTTGGATGTTTAGCTTGGGGCTTCCAGCGGCAATACATAGATCCCAGGTGAGTCTTGCTAATGCTGGTAATGATCTATGAGTATTTACTGACCCTAGCCCAGCTTTGGCTTCTACTTTTCTGTTGGTATGTTTCCAACCATCCATCGCGAGAAGTGTCTTCTGACATACGCCAGCTCTCTTTTGGGCACTTCAAGTCCAATTCTTACTTCAAATCATCCTGAATCGTCTCGGCCTCTTGATGGTTGTTCCCGGCCGAGCCGCACGTCTCAAATGGATCGTATTCGCCATCATCTTGGCAGTCAACATCAGCGTGTTCATCATCTGGATGCCAGCGCGCCTACAAATCAATGACCAATGGATATGGCTGAATAATATCTGGGATAGATGTGAGAAAGTCATCTTTGCTCTAGTCGATGGAGCTTTGAATGCATACTTCATCTACCCCGTCCGGTCGAGGCTTATTGAGAATGGGTTGACCAAGTACATCCCTCTCTATCGGATGAATCTGTTTCTAATTTTTGTGTCTCTTTCATTAGATGTAAGTAGAGTGATCTCACTTAACTTTCATAACTGACGCATTTCAGGTTGTTCTTGTTGGTCTCATGTCTTTGCCAAGCAGTCTGGTGTAAGTCTTTTTCTTGCTTTAATATTAACCACTGACGAGCTCAAGTTACCTCTCGTTCCACCCAGTGTGCTATCTCCTAAAACTCCAGATTGAAATGAAAATGGCCGAACTCATCACAAAGATTGTGCGTTCCTCTGGAGCAACAGGCAAAGACAACTACCACCAGTCCAGTGCAAACTATGCAAGAAGCATGGCAACACATACCATAACCAAGCCGTCGGCCACCCATTCACATTCAGGTGTTCATGGAACATTTGCCGGAAACAACACAACCCATATCGAGGCTGGTGAACGTGATAGCTCTATTGAGGTGGAACTTCAAGAGCGCATGAGTATGAGTCCAAGCGGGATCGTGAGGACCGTTGAGACGACGGTTGCGACTTCACCTGCTCAGATTCACGACTATCGTCGTTCAGACAGCATAACAAGCTCAACGGCAGGATTGGCCTTTTAGTAGAAGCGCTAACGTGCATGATAAGCGAGTGCTCCAGACAAGCGAGTGCTCCAAAAATCCCTCAACCTACACTATCACTTTTCAATCAGATATTTCTCAACAATCCAATATGCCAGAGTCTCCAAATGAAGCTAAGATTATTCTTGCCCTTCAGGCCCTCCAGAATGACCCAAAATTAAGTCTTAGAAAGGCCGCAGCTATATATCATGTTGACCGCTTTGCCTTA